AATTTTCCTAACATCATGAAAAGTGAAAAGATAAACTTTCAAGAAGCTCAACGACTTCCGGTTTGCCAGGGCGGCCAGGCGGTGCCGGTGAGTGGGGGCTCCGGGATCGGGGGGAGCAACTCGCGAGTTAAACCTCCCAGGTAGGAACCCACAGTCTCACAGCCCGCGTGAGTCTCAGTGCGCCAGAGCCTTAGACCCACTTGGTTGAGAAATCATTGTGCGAGGAATTACAGGCTTAAACTTGTGCTGCTGCAGCCCCAGCTCCTGTGGGCTTGAGGGGGCGGGGCGGGAACCAGCTCATGCGGAGCCTCCAGTAGCAGGGAGAGCCACTTGTGACACCTAGCCCAAGGTGGGATTTCAGCGCATACAGTGGACAGAGGGAAATTACTTTAAAGGGGGGGGGAAAAAAAGCCTGTAGGAGAAGAGAAGCGGCGACTGTCAGACGTCATCCGGCGCAGACTGTGCCTGCCTGAGCGACTTCTGCCCTGCCCAGTGGACCCGTGTCCTCCACCCAGCGGACCCCCCACCCCAGCACAGTCCAACCGTGTTCCCGGGGCCTGCCGGGAATGCGCGCACACAGGCGAGCAGCTCCCCTCCTGCCCGAGCCGTCCCACGGGCCTGCCAGACGTGCGAAAGTGAGCGACCCGCCCACCGCTGAACCGAGCAGTGTTCCTCAACCCTGCCGGGCATGCGCCGCCAAACAGCTCACCTCACGCTCAACTGAACTGCGGGGCGCGGGGGTAGGCAGCCCCCTTCCTGCCGCAAGCACCAACTGGGGAACCCCATTTGGGTCTCCCCTTTATTTTTATTATTATCTTTTATCTTAGAAGGTTCAGCAGGAGCCCCGACGTGGCTCTGAGGGCTGGGGTGCCACTACAAGGTCACCTGAATTACAGGGTCATTGGTCCACCCCCACCAACCGCTCCTCAGAAACCCTATAAAAGAGCATTAGGGGAGGGGCGTCCGGCATTTCCCTGACCCAGCAACACAGGCTAGCCCACTGCCCAACCTCCAAGGCTCAGGCCCTGCAAGTAAGACACAAGCCGGCACAAGCCAGCACAAGGGAAGACGCCTTGAGGTGATTTTTACCAACAGCAACAAACCAATCCTGTTGTGCCTCTGCAGGTTAAGGGACTAAACTGCAGAACCTTTTGAAATGCAAGGTCGGAATTTCGGGCCCACCAGCTGCTCCTTAGAAACCCTATAAAGGGTACTTGGTTTTCTTTTCTTCTCTTTCTTTCTTTTTGCTCTGCGGGTTAAGGAACCAGACTGCAGAGTGCTTTGAACTGCAAGGTCGGTAGA